TTTGACTCCCTCCCCCCACCCCCCCTCCTCCTTCTACTGCCTCCTTCCCCAGTTAATGACCACGAAGCAGCACCATCCCCAATACCGACTGAGGACTTAGTGTGTCCAATGTGTTCTGAGACAGAGGACACAAAAGTTCCCCCACCACCACCCTAAAAAAGCTCCACGCTGTCCTTCTGCTGCCAACTGAACAACCTCACAGGATCACCACCTCAGACAAGAGCACTCGGAGATCTCGCTCCCCCTCGTCCTTCTCCTGCCTCCTCCTCCAGTTAATGACCAGGAAGCAGCACCATCCCCAGTACTGTCTGAGGACTAAGTGTGTCCAATGTGTTCTGAGACGGAGGACACAAAAGCTCCTCTCCCCCCCCCCCCCCAGAGGAAACAAGATACGGCAAGTCCCCTTCAGAACTTCGCCTAAAGGCAGTCAAAGACAAGGTCACCGTGTCCCAAATGACCGAACGCCTCCTCCCGTTGGCTGGCATGAGTGACGGCGCTTCTTCGCCAACACACCGTTCTCCTCCTCCTCGCCCTTCTCCATAGAGACCCAGTGAGCTACCCCTTTCTGACAACATCCACTGTTGAGTGGACCCGTCTTCCTTAATCCCCCTGAAACCTCCCAACCAGAGCCCAACGCCTAGAATAGCTTCTGACGCCGTCCTGCTTAGAACCCCCAGGTGCCCCATGGCACCCCAAGGTGCGTGGTCCTCTTGACTCCAGTGAGTGATACACCAACATGTGCAGCTCCCACAGGCTCCCCGGGCGCTTGGGCTGCAGGCGTCCACAGCTCCCAGGGCCTCGCCCACCTTTTCTACCTTAACCCTTCCAAGGACTATAAGAGGAAAACCATACAAATCCTCCCAGCCTCACCACCCTGTCCCCCTCCCCACAGATATCAGTGTTGTCATTCCTGTGACCTGCAGAGTCAGCTTATGAATATTCAAGGCAGGTATTTTTTTAATTGATGAGAGAGAGAGAGAGAGAGAGAGAGAGAGAGAGCGAGGCGGAAGGGGGGGGGGAGCAAAGGAGGAGAGAGAGCAACATTATCAGCTGTTCCCACTCATTACTCCTTCATCGGTTGCTTCTTGTAGGTGCCCTGACCTGGATTGAACCCACAACCTTGGCGTATTGAGGCAATGCTCCAACGGAGCTGCCCGGCCAGGGCTCAGGGGCCAGTATGAACAGCCTTTCACGCCTTTTCTACACAAAGGATAGCCTAGCCTTCATACGGTTTCTTTTGCACCTTGTTCCCTTAACCAAAGATCTTAGCGACCCCTCATAAGCTTCCTCTTTCTCTTCTTTTTTGAATCGTGGTAAGAACTCTTGACAAGAGCGCTGCCTTCTTAGGGAATGTCGACGTGCCCAGGGCGGCATCGCTGACTCCAGGCATTGCGTACTGCACACCAGGTCTCTGGGACTGACTCCTCTTGGGTGACTGAAACGCTCTACTCCTGGAACAACTAACTCCCCATCAGCCTTCTCCCGGCCCCGGGCAATCACTGTTCTACTCTCTCTGCCTGTGGGTTTGACTATGTTAGATCCTTCAGAGTCAGGCAGGCAGTCTGTGTCCCTCTGTAACTGGCTGATTTCACTTGCCATAATGTCCCTGGGTTCATCCACGTTGAAGGCGGGATTTAGGAGCTCCCTCTTTCTTAACAGTGCTTGCCATTCTCTGGATGGGAAGACTGAGGCGTCAGGAGAGGCCGAGTGACTTGCCCGTGAGCACCCAACCAGCAAGAGGAAGAGCAGGGATTTGAACTTAGGACTCTCCAAATCCTCCGCTCTGCACCAAGCATTGTGCTGCATTTAAATGACATCGGGCGCCCCTGCCGGGTGGCTCAGTTGGTTGGAGAGTGGAGCCATGCGCCCGAAGGGTTTCAGGTTCCATTCTGGGTCAGGGCACATACCTAGGGTTCGGGTTCCACCCCGGGTTGGAGCTTGTGCGAGAGGCAATCGATCAATGTTTCTCTTTCACATCAATGTTTCTCTCTCCCCCTCTCTCTCTCAAAATTAATATAAATATATCCTCGGGTAAGGATTGACCACAACAAGAATAAATAAATAAATAAGATAAAAGATATTAGGGACAATGGATAGATGCTGTTTCCTGCCGGTCTCACTCCAAACCACCACCTCCTAGGTCTCCCCTTCCTCCTGCTCCTCTCCTCCCCTGCCCGTGCCATCTCACCTGCTTGCAGCCCACACATATAGAGCGCCAGGGACACACAGCCTGCCAGCTTTCTCATCACCTCCATTGACCTGCAGGTGGCCTGCCCCGGCACAGGTTGCCTCTGACTTTATACTCCCCAATGCCCGCCCCTCCTACTCGAGCTGCTCCGGGGCACACGGACTTACTCCAGAGCACCGTGTGCCCTGCCCTGAACCTCGGGGCGCACACGAAGATCAGGCACATCCCTCTCAGAAGCGTGGCCCCAGACCAGCTCCATCCCCCTCACCGGCAAGCCGGTTGGAAATGCAAATCCTCAGGCCCCACTCCAGACTCTGAAGCTCTGGGGAAGGGACGCAGGGCCTGGGTTGTAACATGCCCTCCAGGTGAGCCCAGTGGTTGCTAACGTCTGAGCACCATCGCTCTGGCTTAATACTTTCATATCCACCTCATCTCATTTGCTCCCTTCCTTATTTTTTTTAAAACGAAAGTCCACCCTGGCCGGTGGCTCAGTGGGTGGGGCACCTTCCCATCACCAAAAGGTTGTGGGTTCAGTTCCTCATCAGGACACATACCTAGTTTGCGGGTATGAGCCCTGGTTGGGTGGGTACGGGAGGCAACCAATCAATGTTTCTCTCTCTCTCTCTCTCTCTCTAAAAAGCAATGGAAACATATCTTGGGGTGAGGATTTTAAAAATGAAAGGGAGGGAGGGAGAGAGGGAGGGAGGGAAAGAAAGAAAGAAAGTCCAGTGAGAAAGGCAAAGCCAGTGTAGCCTCCCGGATAAGTAACGTCAGAACAGCCAAGCATCATGGCTGCGGTCTGCCAGTATGTGGGAAGGACAGAGGGATCTGGGAGCGCAGAAGAGGAAAGAGCACTTTATGAGAGAGAAGAGGTTGGGAGAGTGAGAACCAATAAAGAGGCAGGTGTTCTAGCCCCCCCCCACCAATGAATATAATAAATTTGAAAATAGTTGTTACACCAAACCGCCAGGGCAACCCAAGATGAGGAACAGACCGCCCTGGAGATCAAGCGTCATGAGAAGGGAAGGGACTGACTCATCCTTTAGCATCCGTCTGTGCTGACATCCGTCTGTTATGCCCATTTGTAAACATACAGGGACAGGTACCGCTTCTACACACGTTTGCCTTTTCCAAACAGAGAGGAGAGACGTGGAGAAACCCTGGTAAAGGCACAGGCACTGGAGACACCGAGCTTCTCCTGTCTGACACGCAAGCTGTGGCTTCTTGCTGTTTTGCTGAAATGATGGGCATTGACACAGCCTCTGGCCTCTTCGCAGGTCATGAGGCCACCTGTCAATCAATCACGAGTAGGCAACATGGGTCGGCATCCCTGCGTCCCCTGCAAGTCCCCCTACGACTCCATGACGTGGGCATCGAATTCCTTGTTTGAAATCTGGGGAAACTGAGGCTCAGAGAGCCTCCATCGCCTGTCAGACCAGAAGCGGCGACCTGATGTCCAGCCTTCTTGCGCTTCCTCGCCCCGTTGTCACGGGGGTCTCACAGGCAAGAGCCTTCAGCGGAAGCCGGTCCCTCCACAGTCACAGGTTCAAGGCTCACTCTTGCCTGGTCCCCAAGACAGACCTGACCTCGTTTCTGACACCTGCCAGCTGAGTGACTCTGCAAAAGTGACTTTTGTCTTCTAAGCCTGCAGCCAAATGTCTCAAAATGTTTGGGCTACGTGCATTGATTGGAGAGCTCGGCAAATATTCTTTCTTCCCTTTCTTTCTTCCTTTCGAGTTAATTCCACTTAATTATTTTCCATTCTGCCATAGTCTCCAATCCACAACTAGCATTATCAGGACACATACAAACAAATTCAGTGGGAATGTGAGACCAGTTTTCCCATATTTCTTAATTTAATAAGCTGTCGTTATTTATTAGGGAAGATAGGGCATCTTTGATTTCTCTCTGTCTTTCTCTTTGGTTCATTTTACAAAATGTTCTGAATTCTACTTGTAACGTCTCCCAAAGAGGATGGGAAGTTGTATTCCCAAGTATTCATGGTTTACGGGGGTGGCGCTGAACGCGTGCCAAGTTGCTGAGGCACGTTCTAGAGATTCACCCACCCCTCACCCCAGAGGCATGGCCAGGACGCTCCGAGCCCAGCACACCCTACCCACTGAAGGGCCGCCATGAACGTTAGCAAGAACCCATTATTCCTTCTTTGCTCAACTGCACAGTCATTACATCTCCAGGCACGCAACCAACTGTGATCAAATATTCTTCAGAACCGAAGTTGGTTTCCAGCCAGTGGTGTTGGGAGGGCTGGGTGAGGATGAAAGAAAAATCTACCAAAGTCATAAACCAAGACGGGCTTGGACTCCAGAGCTTCCCTGAGAACAGCACTCATCACAGGCAACTGGAGAGACACGACCAGTGATTACAAGCAGAGAGGGGGCTGTGTGGGGCTCGGTTTTATCCTCTGCAAAAATGAAAAGACAGAGGAGAGGGGAGAGGTGGGGGTGGAGGTGGAAGAAGGTACAGGGGGGATAAGTGCTGATAGAAAAATAAACTAAAGAAAAGAAAGATAGATAGCGCTGGGTATGGATTCAGAATGTCAGCTGGCAATGCCAGCTCTGAAACCAGTGGGAAATACCTGAGCATCGATATCCAATAGACTAACTTTAAAATCCTAGATTTCTTATTGATTAGTTGGGAACATTAGCTAAATAACTTGCCCACTATTTTTTTATGGGGGGTAGTTTGATATCTATGCTTCATAGATGCACAGAACAAGATGAACACAAAGCATTCAACCTTCATTGGTATTTTGTGGTTTTCAAAAGCTGAGTACTGCCCTAGCCGGTTTGGATCAGTGGATAGAGCATCAGCCTGCAAACTGAAAGGTCCCAGGTTCGATTCCGATCAAGGGCATACACCTGGGTTGCGGGCTCGATCCCCATTGGGGAATGTGCAGGAGGCAGCCAATCAATGATTCTCTCTCATCATTGATGTTTCTATCTCTCCTTCTCCCTTCCTCACTAACATCAATTATATATATATATATTAAACTGAATACTTGTAGATAAGATACATAAATCTCCCTGAAATCCTATGTGTTCATCTGTTAGGGCTGTCATAACAGAATGTTACAGGCTGTGAGGCTTAAACAATAGGCATTAATATTTCACAGTTCTGGAGGCTAAAAGTTCATGATCAAAGTGCCAGAATATGTCTGGTGCAGTCTCTCTTCCTGGCTTGTAGACGACCACCTTCTTGGAGTGTCCTCTGTGCTCAAATGGAGAGAGAGGGAGTTATCTCTGTTGTCTCTTCGGGGGGTTATGTTGTCAATATATGAACTGGGTGAGGTGACACAGTTCTACCCATAACACCCTGATTCGTCTCTGCTGAATGAGAGTGTTGGTCTCCGTCCTGTTTGCGTGTTGGGAAGATCTGAGGTCACCGGCATGAATTGAGAGTCAACATATAAAAAGCAAAGATGTCTCGATTCTTGGAAAAGTTAAACCATATGCACATCTAGACAACCAGTCCTTAATTTTAATCTATCGCTCACGGAGTTGAGGGTTTCAAGAGAGAGAGCTAGAGACGTGGCCATTCACTGGCACGCAGAGAGGCGGTGAAGAGAAAGTGGGCGAGCATTTTAAGAGGCAGGAACGCCCGGGTTTGAATTGAATGACCTCCCCCTTTCTCACTGTGAGACTC